AGGTGAGTTGAGAACTAATTCTTATCTCTGATCTTGTCAAAAAATCTAAGCAAACTGTGACAGATAGGAAGCTATTTTTTTTATTCAGACTGTTTTAAATCCTGTGCTTCTCTGCCTGTTCAGTTCAAGATTTACTCATGTGGAAAAGGTGTTCACTTTTTTAGACATTCAATACTGCAGTATCAGGAGAGTTCCAAATTCATATTGCTAGATTTTATTACTAAATTTATCAGCAAAACCAAACAAAGATTAGCCTGCACATTTTAATCCTATATAGAGCATATATCTATGGACTTCAGTAGACAAATATACACATATATATATATATACTGCTTTCATATCTTACGTAAAAGAAAGAAACAAAAACTATAAAAACTTGTTGAAGATAACAGGCTACTGAAGGGTTTTGTTCAGCTTTTCTTGAAAAGCAACAAGGGGCAAAATGCTAAAATATTACACCCAGGCAACATTTGCGTCCTTTGGGTGGTAAAGAGGGTCATGCACACAACTGCATTTCACGCACATCACCATCAGCTCCTTTGCTGACCTAGTCATGCCTTTCTCCCATGGCTAGACAGCAGAACATAGTTTGACTGACATATGACCTAAATCAGATTTACAGACAAATCAAATCCTCATTTCCAGGGAATTTGTTTCAAGGCTTACATTAAAGCAACTTGCAACCTAGGCTCAGCAGAGATAATTTTCTAAATCTTTTGATACGTCACACTTTATAAGGTTTACCATGTCTACAGCAGACACTGACCCCATTCAGTTCTGCCACAGAAATGGCAACATCATGATGTATTTGAGATTTTAATTCATGTCAGTACACCAAAGACATGATATAGCAGAAAATTAAAGTGATGAATCACTATCTGAAGATTTTCAATGAGAAAATGCCTGTAAATTAAGGACAATATTTTCAGAATGAACAAGGCTGCAGAAGCAGAACAATAGAGAAATCTAAAATAAATGTGATAGCGCTCAACTTTAAAGACAGTATGAGCTATTTTGTCTTGGGTAATGGGGAAAAGAAGGTGACAGATTAGAGTTGGGGAGAGGGAAATCATGCAGGCTCTGATTAATCAGAACTGTCTACCCACATTTGCCTACACAAGCAGAATTAAAACCATCAAACAAGTTTTGGTGCTAGATTTCAGATACTGCGGTGGAAATAATGTGCCCTGACATTTTTAGCGTTAAAGCGATAGGGATGAGAGCAGCATTTCATCATTATAAAGTCCTGTGGTCATGTGCAGAGGATGCCACGGCTCTGCTTCGAGATGAAAGAGTTAAATTACTCAGAGCTATTACATCCTGTCTGCTGCTTGGCGGGACCACATACTGTGACAGCTGCAGCTTTACATCCTCTACAAACTGACATTTTACACGCATATCGAGTGCATCACACTGTTCAGCTTGTTTTCTCTATTAGTTTTACCAATTAAAAGGCAGCGCTTTCTCTGCTAAGAGGTGTGCCAGCCCCTCTCTTTTGCCTTTATGGTTCAACAGCAGAACTTTGTCCTTTCATTTAGAAAGGTTCTCCTTTTATTACTAAGGGCATCGATACATGCTACATGTCTTCCTTTTTAAAACAGCTTTCTTTTGTTGAGGCTGGGATTCTTTTGTTTGCTTCTTCTTCTTAATTGCAATACAGTGCAATAAATTTACATTCAATTCAGACCACATCTGAACAAGTCCACAGCTCATACAGATAATCAAATCTGATACAAATTTAAAATAAGCATCCATTACACACATTTATGTCATGCTGCCCATCAGTGCTTCTTCCACTGCCTTGGTACAAAGAAAAATGACAAATGGAAAAGGTTAATCTAGATCAGAGCTGAATCTATATCAAAAAAATAAGAAAGTCTACATTAATGAGTCATTCCACTGCTCCATAATTATCTCTGTGATAATTATACTTTGAAGTACTCATAACAGAAACAAAGCCTTTCCTGAGTTTCGGACATATACTGTCACGACTGAACTCTGTCTCCTTCCCTCTACATCCCCCGTTTTACAGTCTGTTCCTCTGCCACTGCATTGCTCCATTTTTATGGCAAATAAAAGAGAATTCTGACAGGGTTTAACAGAGAGGTGAGTTGGTTTTCTGGGTACAACACTAAGCAATTGCCTACAGATCCCCCAACTTCCAGTCTTCCATTGATTGATGAGTTTAGTTACCTATGCCTATTGTGTCTCAGAAAACACGAGGCATGAAATATCCAGGCAGTTACTTAAATGTCAGGAGAAGAAAACAGAGGTGGTCAGCTCTGCTCTTCCTTTAAATGGGTAAGACCTTTGCAAGAGTTCCTCAATGCCTCAACCTTCTTATTTCAGCAGGCTTTTTTTTTCCTCCATATTCTTCCACTTTCAGGTTGGTGGGTAACACATTCATAATGTCCCCAAAAGAGGGGCACTTGATCTCAAAAGAGCAAAATTGTCAGGGAACACCCAGCATCCAGATTTTACATTACAGCAGAGAATGACCTGATCACACCAACAAGCTGTGTGTATGCTATCAGTCAGTTTCTGAAACTGCACATACCAAATCTTATGTCTGGAACAAGAGATTCTCCACGTTACCCCTCAGACAGACATGGTGTGCAGTAGTACAGCATCTCTTGACACACCAGATGGCAATGGGAGGTTGATTCCTTAATCTGTTGACCAGATGTGTTTCCAGCATGGAATTGCTAGAACTAAGGCAAATTACACTCTACCTACGAGGGCTTTAATGCTTCAAGAGGCCTTGCTAGAAGATACTCTTCTGTTGTGTTCTAGTGTTTTGGTCACCACTCTGCCATCACAGGGTCCCCATTACTAAATGCTGATAGCAGGTATCACAGATTTGTCATCTAGCTTGAGACAAACTTTCTTGTGTCCACACAGAGCAAACTAAAAGGTGTATAGGTGCCATTAAGCACAACTTTGTTGCAATCTCCTACTGAGAGAGAACCTTTCACTGGTTGTCTAAGAACTAAACAGGTTCAGACCAAGAATCCATTTAACTCAGAAAGCTGTCTCCAACACGGCTGTAAGTGACAGCTAAGGAAGAATAATATGTATCAGGGTAAGTATGCAGGATACCTGCCCCAAATATCTGTGTACTTCCTCTCAGCACATCTGGTTTAGTTTCTACTGAAAGGAATCCAGTTTGTGCAATATGAGACCATTCTGTGATGTGATGTGAGGCATATTAAGTGGGGAGGATCAGGAGGTTCACTTCAAAAACACACTCCTGATCTCAACTGAAATACTGATATAAACACAGATGTAGATAAGGTAGGAGAAAAAAAAACAACGCATCACTTCCACCTGAACTCATCTAAATTCCATGAACCCGCAGCATTCTCCAAAAAGGAGTTCCACAGATCTGCTGCTGCTGCACAAAGAATTACCTGATTTATCTCCTTTTTCTTTGTTTTGCACCTGGCCCCAACTAGTGCCATTTGACAACCCTTAGTTCTTATACTGGAAGAGATGGCAAACAGTCAATCCCTGTTTATATGCCTCCCATGATTTAGGAGACCTATTCCATTCACTTCAACTCTTCTCTTTTCCCAGCTGAAAGGACACACCATAGAAAGTCTTCCTCATATGGAAGCTCTCTGTATCATTGATCATCCTCACTGCTCTTCTCTGAACATCTACAGTGCTAACATAATCTTCTGAAATAAGATGCTGTCAAACCATGGCTTATACAGCAGTACGTAGTAGTATATGCTTGCTGTTTCACTCTCTATTCATTCCCTAACAGTTTTTAACATATGGTTAACATTAAACTTCTTAACATTTGCTTTCTTGATCAGCATTGACCTAATGCACTCATGGAACCATCTATCATTATCCCAAAACATTGCTCCTGAGTGGCAACACCACAATTTGACCCTAAAGATGAACAAGAACCTATAGTCAAGTCTGTAATAACTGGAATAACATTAAATGTAATATAGGAATCATTTGTTCAGATGCACATTAGCACAAGAAAAGCTGCCATTAACGCATTACATTGTTCTTCAAGAAGTTTCTAGACATTATTATATGGCCATTTCTTACTGCACTACAAAGTCATCATCTAATAACCAAACTCTTAATCCTAGTCTTCTGGAATTTTACACATTTATTATAGCATCTCTCCCATTTCCACTTAATCCATCCTTTTGGCATGTGTGTGCTTTGTCTTTCTTAGGATTTTATACCATATACAATATATTCCAAGCAAAAAGATCAGGCATTGCCTTTATAGATACATAACATCTATTTCTAGCAGAGTAGAGTAATCAAATAAAACAAACAAACAAACTAATGAGAGTTATGTAATGGTATCTTATTTCCCCCCATGATCTTTTTGCTTTAAGTTACAAAGAATTTTAAGTCCAGCTTTTCAAATATCTATCTGTGTATCAAATTTGCTGTGGAAGATCAGTACCGACTGATCTGATCTAAACAGTGTTTCTATTGATCTCAGTGTGCACTTGGATCAGTAACAAGCCAATCTATGACACACGTGGTTTGTTTGTTGGGACCTATCCAGAATACACAGTTCTTTCAGCATATGAAGGAGGTCAGACAGAAGCAAATGCAGTTATCCACACATTCTAACACAGCTAAGCCCACCTAAAGGGCCACCACCATTAGAACCATGACGCTGCAGTGACTTGTGTGATCATGTTGCCCTGACAACCAATGGAGATCCTCTTTACAGTTAATCTAGCAGACATCTGTATTTTTGGGAGAGATAGCCATGAGTGTCTTTGCTCACCATCACTCACATTTCCTACCCCACAATAAGGCACGGAGATGACCAAAACCAAAAGTGCATCGTACAAACCTAGACTGTGGTTAAGTGGTGTTTCTGTTACGTTGAATCCCTTTACCTCAGCTGCGTGTCTGGTAGTGCTGAAGCACAGATCAGTACATGAGTCTGCCTCACAGTCTTGGAGTGTTTTAATTTACAAAAAATCAAAGAAGAAAAACTGCACACATACCTTCAGGACAGTCCACTGCTCTACAACAATTGCATCATAGCCCTGCATGGTTTTACTGTCTTCCACGGTAACATCTTCAAAGAGAAATACTCCATCCATTGTCCCATGTAAAGAATCTGTGAAAACACAGGGTTATCTGTAAGCTTTATGGAAGACACCCCATGTGCAGTGAGGCATTTGAATTTCTTAATAACAAATTCTTCCAAGGATGTTAATAAAAAAGTGCACAGGCCTTCCTCTGATAGTCCAGCTTTATTAAATGAATGAGACTAATAAGTCTAGCAGCTTTTAAGAGCAATCCCACTCTCTAACAGCAAACCTCACTGTCCACTCTTGTTATTCCAGAGTTTGTCCTCGAAAACCACAACTCTCCCATTTTGAGCAGGCACAATTAATTCAATCCTCAGTTCAGCAGTACTGCTCACCTGCTTGAAGTTATACACACACTTTGGGGGCTAAAGACCATGTACTATGTCAACTTTTCAAGGCCTTTTGAAGGTAGGCCGATCTGAATGACTATACCCACTCATTCACACGAGTCAGAACCCTACATATGGATCAGCTGCTGCAATTACAGTGATCTACATGGACTAAGGATGATTTGGCATATCTTAATAGTGTGAAATAAAAGATACATTCATAACTATTTAATCAATTTACGAAGGCATTTTGACCATCTGGTTTAGTGGCTCTCTATTCTCATTTGCATTCCCAGCATGTTTAGCCTTTTTTCAGACAACACATAGTATTAAATTTACTTGAGCAGCACTTTCTCCTCCAGGCCAGCCGTATACTCCATAATCAGCAATCACTCCTATATGCAAGAACTCCAGTTTTGTCAGCTCTGTGGCAGAACAGAACCAGAATAACTGAAAAAAATTACTTACCTTTCTTTGCTAAAATACACGAAATGATGAAGCAACAGAATTATACTTAGAAAAACTGTAAATAAACAGTACTGTACTCTTTATGAACACAGGACACTCCTCTCACATTGTCACAAAGTGTGTTTTTCAGCCCTTCTAGTTTAAGTAATACATTTACCCTATATGGCTGATGATACCCTTGCTCATCCCCTCCCCAAGTATTGCATTTTGCATGATAGTTTCTTTACATTTTTAGGAAAACTACGTTCCTTGCACTGGCATGATACATGTTTTTGAAACGCAACCACACATGCCAAACTGACAGATTCCTGAACTGTCAGGAGAGTCTTCTGGATAAGTCTGCTTAGCTGTTTCATCAGGTCCTCGTGCTTTCCCTGGTGGATCTTAGGAGGTCAAGAAATGCCAGTGGGAAGGTATTGCTGCCTTCAGTATCAAACTTAGAACCAATTTTCACAAAGGAGGCAGCGAAGAGGATTACGAGGCTTCTTACCTCTTGCAGGCATCTCAGTGAACATCTCTCAAGGTCATTATATAATCTAAATTGAATTTATTATCTGGAAATAATAAATTCATTGTGGGTAAAGCCCACAACAAACCAGACTCCTACAGTTGGAGGCTTATGTCTACAAATACACTGCAGCAAGACTGTTGCAGCAGGTGTCAAGCATTTGCACACCACCCACCTGCTTCTGTTTGCACAGTCCACTACTGTCTTTGCTGCAGTTTCAATTTAGTCATTAAGATGTGAGTTGATGTAAATACTAACAAACTAAGACAGCGGGGTTTTTTTAGTTCAGTTGTGAAGGAGACGAGTTGTAAACCACTAACTAGGGACTCTCCTTGGGATTCAGACTCAAAGAAGTAGAAAAATACACTGTCTCCTTCCACACTGTCGCCCCAGGCAGGTTTCCTGTAACTCCGTTTAGAATAAAGGGAGATGAAGACCCCTCGCCACTACAACAAGCCAGTATTACATATCGCCCCAAGGAGGATAAGGTGAACTACAAAGAGGTAACTCCTGTCACCTAGATAGATTTCTCATCCAAATAAGGAGAACTGATGCTTTTGTTGTGAAATAACAGGCCAGATCACCAAGTAGTTGGGTTACAGGTTAGAATACACAGGGAGAACAAGCTTGTCCCATACAAATAGGTACAAGATTTAATTATCATATTTCATTCAGAAATGGCATTTTGTTAGAACTTACATTTCAAAGCAGGAATCAACTCAACTTCTGTGCAATATATCATGTTCCAACACCCTAACCCATATCCAAATCTATTTTAGGATGCATAATGTATAAATAAATCTTTAATTTTCCACAGCAAGGATGACAGGACAGCACCTAAGACTGAAAGCAGAAATCCATAGATCCCTTCTAGACATAGACATCCAGATCTTGCCAGGAAGCTTTATATAGCACTGGTGCACTGCTCCTGTATTGTGAATTCTCTTAATGAAATCCAGGGTCGCACTGTTGGCACAACTGCAGCTTGAGCTCACCCCATGCATTTGCCAGCTAATTAATAAGTGATCAAAACACAATCAGCAGGCGTGTGTTTACACTCGCTCATAAATCATTCTTTATGTTTCACTCTGCTGCGCATTCCGCTCATGCAGTTCACAGCTTCCACATATGTGAACGTTATGGCACATATGTAATGTTTTAGAAACTAATAGCTGAGCTCATGAGACCCTACAGGCAGCAGATAAGCTTGACTGCACTTCCTCATTGGATGTACAATGATTACTGTTGAATGCTGCATCCAGTCAATTCTAAGATCCATTATTTTTTTGGCCAGGAAAGAAACCTATAGAAACTGAGAAAACTGGAAGGGGAAAAACAATGAGGGAGAGACAACTGCTGCCTACTGATGTCTGCTCAGCAGAGTGATGCTGGTGAAAAACTGACTGTAAGACAAACTGACTGACAATGCTTATTAAGATTTTCCCCCCTTAACCATAACCAAGTCTCCTCTCTACCTGTCATGCCACAACATTTAAACTTTCATACCATGAATGCTTGTCTACCAATCCTCACACCTTAGCTGTACATTTTCCCTTTTACAGGTTATCCTCTACTCTTCCAGATGAAAGGAGGATGTGAAGGAAAGAACAACTGGATCATTAATTCCTTTGCATGTGAAGCATTTTGGATGCTGATAATAATTGAGAGAAAGGAGGAAGCAACATAAAGAGAGCTAATGGGGCCATATTCTGGAGAAAAGGCACACGTAACCCATGTTATGGTGTCAGGATCTGCAGGAATTTTGGGGAAACTCTCATACAGAGGTGTGGAAAGGCAAGGAGATGAACACATGCTCTGAGTCCACCTGCAATACCTTGATCGTACAGATGCTCCAGAGTCTGCAGCAACTCCAGTGTACAGTCACATGTTTTAGAGCTGGCCCACTAGGGGAGACTCATATAAACTACATTAGATATTCATGATGTAGAGGTCTACAGCTGAGTTAGTCATCCAAGGCTCTCTTTAAAATTGACGGAGAGAAATAATGCTTATTTCATTCAGGTCCTACTTTCATAGAATCATAGAATAATGCAGGTGGATGGGGACCTCAGGAGGTCTTCAGTCCCATCTACTGCTCAAAGCAGGTTCAATAGAAGTGCAGACAGATTGCTCAGGGCTTTATCTAGCTGCACCTTGAAAACCTCCAAGGATGGAGACTGCACAACTTTCTGGGCAGCTTCTTCCAGAGTGTGACTGTTTTAATGATGAAGAAGTTTTTCTTTATATCCAACCAGGATCTCTCTTGTTTCAATTTATGCACATTTTTTGTCATCCTCCTACCATACACTTCAGTCACGAGCCTGGATTCATCTTCTTGATAGTCTCCTCGTAGGCACTGCCACCCACTGTTAGGTACCCCAAAGCTGTCCCTTCTCCAGGCTGAACCAATCCAGCTCCTTCAGTCTTTCCTCACAGGACAAGTGCTCCAGTCACTGACTATCTTGTTGGCCCTCTGCTAAACTAGCTCCAGTTTTTGAATACCTTCCTTGCCCCCTTTCGGAGAGGGCCCAAAACTGGACACAGTATGTGGTCTAGATGCAATCTGATGAGCACCAAGTAGAGGAAGATAATCCCTGTCTTTTTATCTACTGGTCATATTCTTGTTGTTACAGCCTAGTACGCTGTTGCCTTCTCTACTATCAGGACATACTGCTGGTTCATCTACAGCTTGCTGCCTACTTACATCCTTTAAAGGACCTTTTCAACAGAGCTGCTACCAAGCCAGGCAGCATCCAGCCTGGATTAGTAAAAAGGCCTCTCCCTTCCCAGAGGCAGGGGATTTGTCCTCATGGAATTTAAAAAAGCTCCTGATGGCACATTCTTCCAGCCTGCCCAGGTCCCTCTGGACAGCAGCCCAATTCTGAAGCACACCAAGTGCACCCCTGAGTATGGGATCACCTGCAAATTTGACAAAAGCAAGCCCCGTTGTCTCCTCTGCATCAGTGATAAAGTTGTTAAACACAACAGGTCCCCAGATAGATCTCTGTGGTATTCCAGGTGAAGTGTGACTTATTAACCACAAAACCTCTCAGCCTACCCATGCAATCAGTATTTTACCTGTCTAGTTGCCCTCCCATCTAGGCTGCAGGGTACTAAATTGGATACAAAAATATTGTGGCAGCCACTGCTGAACTTCCTTAATAAATTCACCCAAAATAACATCTACTACTTTCCCTTCATCCACAAATCTAGTCATTTTATCACAGAAGACAGTTTCATCAATTATAATTTACTCCTCTTAAATGCATGCTGACTGTTCCAAATCACTTTCTTCTCCTTTCACGTGTCCACAGATGTGTTCGTTCCAAGAGGACTCACTCAATGATTTACCTGGGAACGAAGTGAGACTGACCACCCTGTAGGGACCCTGGATTGTCCTTCTGGCCTTTTTGTAAAGACGGGTACAACCTTTGCCTTTCTCAAGTGTTGGAAAACTCCCCCGATCTCCATGACCTTCCAAAGATGGGTATGAATGGCCTTGTTATGACATCACCCAGCTCTCCCAGCACTCCTGTATGCAGATCATTTGGTCTCAGGAACTCAAGCAATCCTTGGTTTGATTTTCATCCACTGCTGCTAGTCCTGCATCTCCTTGAACCTTGCCTCTAAGCTCAGAGGCCTGTAAGTCTGTGTCAGTTTAGGCCAAGGCAAAAGAAGCGCTGAGTATCTCAGTCTTATCTAGGTCTGCTGTCACTACACCACCCACTCCAAACTAGCTGGTCTCTTTCAGGTATCTGATACAGGGTGACATGGATCACAACACAAATTCTACTGACTATATTGGTCTAAGCCTAGATCTCCATTGATTACAATGGCATTTTCAGGTGATAACTCCTGTGCAGGTACCTGCAGGGTCTGCCCTGCCTACATTTATTCAGCTGAATCTCACCTAACCTATCTACAAAGATCAGCCACCTAAGGCTTTTGGTGAGTTGGTCTTTCCAGTTTCCACTGTTTCTCATGCAAGGTATTTCTTGATTCTGATGCAGTTGTATTCTTTTCTAGCTCTTGGAACTTAGCCTACATTAAAAAGGTCTTTAGTAATTCTAAACGTTAGTTCATTTGCAATAGGGCAGTAAGGAATGCCAATAAAACAAACAATTCTGACTTTGCTGTCTGTGGTATCATTTCCCACTCTCTACTCTTGAACATAACTTCACTCTTTCTTAAAGAAAAGGCTCTGAGCATAAAGGTTACAATCACTGTCCTTCCTCTGAAAACGTTCCATTGCCACTGCATTTTTTATTAAGGTATCCTACTGTGCACAAAAAGCTATTTTCACTGGGTTGTATAAATATTTGATGTAGCTCGGTTGACAAAACGCTATTTTGATGTTCTTGCTTCTGATTTACAAGAAGTATATGGGAAAAGATTTCTTATTTTACTCTTGGCAGCTTTCCTAGTGGGCAACAATTTGCCCCTTGTTGTCTGTGAACTATAAATCCCCCTTATCTAGGAAACTAACCTTTAGGCTGCTGCTGCTCTCAATGAGGAAAACCAGCTATCTGTGGCTTTATGTGGCATGCAACCTGAATGCTGGCCTTTGCTTCATATTTATATTCTTCCCTCCTCCCGAATCTTTTCACCTTCAGTACACACACAAAAAAATAACTCCATATGGATGATAAAAATTCCAGCCACTTCAGTCGGTAAGGTGACTATAATTGGCCAAATGCATCACTGGTTCATCTCTGTCAGAGGCAGTGCAAATATAACAGAGACAATCAATCTGGCCCTCTAAAAACCAAGCAACTCACATTTTGTTTCATTTGCTTTGTCTTTAAGTACTGTCAATGTTTTCTGGTTGGTTGGCTGGCTTTTTCCAAGTTTGAAGACAGAATGGTAAAACAAATACATGTCAGGTGCTGAAAGACCTGCAGTTCAACACCACTAAAGAGGAGCAGGCTTGTGATCACTCTGTTAAGGCATCAAAATATAACCATAGCTTTGACTCTTCCTCCCTTCTCACACCGCTGACCGGACACTTGCTGTCACAGGAAAGAAGGAGACCCCACCTGTTACATCCTTTCCATCTGCAGTGGTATTAATCTGTAGCTTGCTGCTACAGGCTCCACTTCTCACTAGAAGAGGGCACAGGTGAAGTCGTACGATCACTTCAGATCACTAGGCAGGATCAGTTTACATCAAGGACCACAGGCAGAATTAGTAATTACATGAGTTGGATGAAAAATAGCAGCAAGTAACCAAACTCCAAATTTAAATAACTTATTTGTCAACAGAAGAACATTCAAGGACCAAGCAAGCTGCTGTTTCTAACTTACTAGCAAAATCCGAATACATTTAATATATAGTGTAACTCCACATGGTTTACATTTTGTAAGTTGCAATTATGCTATATTTCTGTTTATAATTATCTGGTACAATAAGCAAAAAGAAACAATTGTTATCAGTGAACTTTAAACTCTTTTAAAGACTAATTATTGAACTGCTGGCAGAAGGAAGAAACAGATTTATGACTACTGACAATCTGGAAATCTTCAGTTCATTGGGCATTCCAAGGACAAGGGGAGAAGAAAAACATAACAACTCTGGTTTTAAGTCTAATAAGCAAAATAATGAATTCATACCTTAAGCCAAAGAGAAAACCAGCCCCGAGAACAAAGAAAAGTGATATAACCAATTAAAGAAAATATGCTAATATTACCTTAATTTGGAAGAGGATTAATCAGTGAATAAGGAGACCAGCTATGAAGAGCTGCCATAGAAGACTAGAAAAAAGTAAGGAGCTGAGGAGCCCTCAGCCCCCTCTTTCTTCCCTCCTCCCTATCCTGGATTGTTTCATACATGCTGGTGTATGAGTAAAAAAGCTGTTCTGTTTCTCTGCAGCGTAGGAAAATTTTAGGATTTAAATCCTAAACATTTAACTGCAACTGATAGCAATTTACAGGTGTTCTTAGCAGATGTTCTTCTAATAGCATGGGCATGTTCACAGCGTTTTAACATAACCGATATAATTAATACACTTTTAGAAACCTTAAGTCTGAGCTTCCTGACTTCTAAACCTGTTCTTCCTCTAACTGTAAAATGCTAATAAAAATGTTTATTAATTGTACATCTTCAATCTCTAATCTAACTTAATCCGGAATCTGTCCGCTTTTACATAATTTGTTGTCCTGTTTACGTTGAAACTTTATTGTCATAATTCAAGCCCACTTTATCTATGTCCACAGGCAGTTATCCAGCACTCCTCACTCTGGTATCCAAGCACATGAACTTCCCCAGGCCCCTGTTATGTAAATGAACTCTGGAAGTTTGAGTAACAGAAAAATGTTGTGTTTAAAGCACTTTACAGTGCACTGATAAGCATTTTTTATTAAAGAAAACACCGAGCCTGACAGAGCCAATTAAATTTGCCTCCATGAGTTGCAATTTATACACATAAAGTAAATGACTATTTGTTTTTAAGCAAGTTAACTAGCAATTACAAGGCTTTCCAGGAAGCTGTGTGAAAGCATTCCATCAGCTGAACTTTAGACCTTCCTTTTTTGCTACTTGCTTGCAAAATGAAAAATTAGGATTGCCTGTTAATTTCCTGGTTGACTTTTACCAGAACCGACTCATATTACTGTGTTTTATCATGGGTCTTGGAATTCTGACCAGCAGCAAAATGGAAAGAAGATGCACTGGAAGCAGTTTCCCTGTAGTTTCAAGGCACAAAACCATGAATCTTAGTAGCAGTGCCCAATCTATGGGTTACTACATTCCTTTTGAAGAATGCAAACCAAACCAAAATTAGGTGAAAGATTCAGCCACAAGCACTTTGACCATGAAGTATAGCAGTGATATAATTTTCCAGTAAAATTAATCTGGCTGTAACTTCAACACTTTTATGTTCAAGTACTTCCCTTGGTTTGTTCTCATGGTCCCCTGGCTATGTCTCTCAGATCCCTACTATGCACCAAAGTCTTTATTTGTACAGCAGGCTTGTCTTCAGAGACACCATGGTGGCCACGAGTGTAGGACAGATTGGCTACAGTACTAAGCTGGATTCAGTGCCACATTTTCACAACATGCAAAAATCTTTTTTAATCTTCTCTTCTTAAATTAACACCAACATTTATCCATCACTTATATGAACACATTAGCTAAGATGAAACAAACACAGAAGACAATTTTATAAAACACTATGCCATCAAGGTGGAAAGGGTCTCTACAAGAACTAGGAGTGACTACATGCTGGCCAGATGAAACGGGAGGGTCCTTACACTGCAATCAGATGCAGATGCAGTATGTGGCTGGACAGCTAAGAGGAAAGCCACTCTTCCATTCATGTCATCTGCTTTACAATCTTATTAGTTTAATCCATTTACTTGGTACTGTTTATTAACTCTGTATATTTCTGCAATTACAGGATCATCTCTAGTATGTTTATAAAATACAATACAGAACCTGTTTTCCTTATTCACATGTCAAAATATTTCCTGTGCTTTCATTCTATTTCACTGAAATGGGCTGATCTAAAACAAATCTGCCCCAAGCCTACATTAAAGCACCTCCAAATGTCTTCTTTTCAAAGATAATGATCTCTATTAGAACAGAAAGGAAAAGAATCACAGCATAATACTTTCTGTAATTTCCATACCATTTACCATTCCAAGGCTGAAGATGGCGTTTACCAGCGAGCCTCCTCTCCTGAAGTGATCTGTCATGTGCTCCAGCCAATTTGCTTCTAAGCTGTTGACAGTCTGCCCGTTCCTGGAGATCCTCATAGGGATAGTCACCGTATAATACTGACTGCATTTCTGTGGGGTTTTTGGCTTGTTGAAGAGAGCGAAGATCTCTGCTTCTACCAAAAAGTAAAAAATAGACTAATGCAACAACCATATCATATTTCAGCTAAAACAATGTACAACCCACTGTCTGTCCCTGCCTGATTACACTGTGCAACTGCAAAAAATACTTTGGGATGTGGTTTTCTCTTTAATACATTTCTTCAGTGTCCAATGCAGCTGGGTCCTAAAACCCAGTATGATATTTTCATTGCTGTTAGAATATTTGTTACTAATAATGGATTCACTGTTGATAATAAAACATTTAAAGACAGTAATACTTGACAGTAATGGACAACTCCCCTACTGGAGTTATCAGTGTAAATCAAGACAGGAAAACATGCTCCACAAACTGCTTTGAGTACTGTAGCAGTCACAAAATCACTAACAACTAATGCATGGAGTACTTTTACTTTTCTACTGAATGAATTGTTAAAAGAGCTGCGACACTGAGGACAGTTCAAATACAAAATCTTACCAGAAATTTATGAGGAACTGCATTCTGCAGATCATGGTCATTAAACTAAAGTATTAAATAACTTGGTTTTGATAATACAATGGCATAGAACGAGCAAGTAGTAGTCTCATCTAAATAAAACATAATGAATCATTAATGCAGAGACTGTGCTAGCTGGTTAATTGATTTACTCTGAGTCTGAGCCAAGGTGAGACATTAATACAACAGTAAATGAATTTTAAGAGTGCAATTGTGGCGGGTCTTACAAATGAGAACATTTTCTAGACTCTGCTCTGTATCTCCTCTAGTATATCATAAGAGCAGTTAACATTGGCTTACCATTACAAAAAAAGTCACTGTTGATAGCAAAGTTGAACTTTCACAGCCATAAAATTGGAAGCAAGTTTAAGTGCAGATACACCTTCCAAATTCTCAGAAGAGTATAACCATCAATGAAATTACCGATAAAAATGTTTGGATATTATTATTTTACTTGTGAATGTGCAAGGAAATCAATGGTAAAATTTCTTTTAATTTCCAAACGCCAAAAAATCTCCCAAAATAAATTAATATAAAAGGTAAAAACATTACATTAAATTCATTCATTCAATAAGCTCCTCTTGTTTCCAAGTTATTATATTCTAATCTCAAGTATTAAAGTAAATAAAGAGACGTCAAGAGAAATGCCAAGATTGCTCTCTGACCGACGTCACTGAGCAGGCATTGAAAATTGAAAAAGATCTTAGAAGGGAGACGTTCAGAGACAGGCTGGCAGCACTTGAAGAAAAGAGTGGGAAGATCACAATAGAGATACCAAACATGAAAAAGAGACCTAATGATCTCAGCCATGAACCATGATTCAAACAGAATAAAAAGGAATAAACTGTTAACATAAGATACACAGAAAAATTCTATGATCCTTTTGATTCTGACCCCCAAAACAGACTCATTTGGAAACAGAGATCTTTTTGGTCTATATTAAGACATTATATTAACAACAGCAAATCATGGAAAACCACCGGGAGATGATAACTTGGATCTGACACTGGGCTGTTGACAGCACGCACTTAAAACATTTGGGAGTCTTTCAGTGGTTGACTTGGTTTGTCACCATTACTGAGTGCACCAGTACACCAGTCCTAATCACTGTTCAAGTCACTATGGACAACAGTGTTCACCAGCGACCCTGACTGCTTAAGCATGGATAAGGAGTCCTTTAGTTTGGTTCTAGGTAACATGGCACTTCTGGACATACTATTGGTATATCTGCGTCTTGTTCACAGGCAAATCATTTTCAACACTGCTTTGAAGAGCCATTTAATAAAAGGGAAAATGAATACGCACTACAAAACATTCAGAAAAAAATGAAGAAGCATAAAAATAACACTCAAATACACAAAATTAACATTGCACAAATAGTAAGAAATATTACATCTTTTCTGAAGTTTTATGTAGGGAAGAAGGAGTTCAAGAGTAGTAACTTCCTATGGAATAAGTATGCTAGCTGTTAAAAAAAAAACAACCACCTGATGCTTTCTGTCTTCATGTTCCTAAGGAAGGATGAAGAACTGGTGCCAAAGACTGAAATACTTTTTCCATGGGAGGAAAAAAGGGAGTGCTGTAATAACAAAAATTCATACAAGAGTAACAAAGAAATCAGCAATGTTGAACAGGCAATAGATTTGGGAAAACCCTACTATGGGTGAACTGCCTTCTCAGACCTTCAGTCTTGGAAAGTATTTGTATAATTCACCAATTAAAAAAAACTGTATGAGAAATAAATAAAGACAAAAAGCAGTCAGAGAAAGAAAGATAAACAGGGAAACTAAAGGCATTTTAAAAATAAAACCTCTTATCTGGCAAATCAGCAGCTATAATAAAATCCTGAGGTGTTACAGACAGAGAGAAGTTGGGAATATTTGAGGTGACCAGCTTCACATTAGGCAGAAATACCAAGAACCAGGTTACTTGCAGTGAAAGACTTCCACTGTTCAGCATGGAGAAGAACAGCATCAAAAATATTATTAAACTTGCTAGGTTAACTCTCTCAAAGACAGCCTATATAAAAAGAGAACGAACTGGTCTGATTAGACTTTGAGAGTCCTAATTTAGAACTATAAAACCAAGAGAGGTTTTATAATGTGCAAGATTCTACTGTAAACGAGAACAGATTTTTCAAATAATAGCTATGCTTTGAGCAAATCTGGCTGTCCACTTGCCCCCAAAAAAATTAAGAAAGTATGGTGAAAGGTTACTAGAGTGTGATCCAAATCTGATGGCAAAAAGCTAATTACACCAAAATGCAACGGAAACCAAGACAATAGTCCAACGAGGGTACAATGCAAAGTCATTCTTGGTCCTACATACAAAATCCCTAAAGGCGTAGGATTGTTCGACTGAATCTATGCAAGACATAAAGAACAGGGATAAATTAAAGTCAAGGACAGCACCAGTTGAAAGGAATGTAGATGGAATTTCCTTACTCAGGTTTTTAGCTTGTAAGGAAAGTAAGCAAAGCAGTAGGAGAAATGCATGTGCACACGGTTTTCTAGGATTTAAGCAAATTTAGGAAAGATAAGTATTTTGAGATTTAAACTGGAAATGGGGAAAGAACTTTTTTTTTTTTGAGGACTTTTCATTTGCTAAATTCCTTTGGTCTACATCCTATTTTCAACTACAATTCCTGCTACTGAAGTAATCTGCGAGCAACAAACACTCTAAGAAAGGCATTTTGAGACCTCAGCTGAGACCTGTTTTTTGATGGCATAAAATGACATTTAAAAGTGGGAAGCACACCTGAGGAGAAATATGTCAAAGAAATGAAAGAAAGAATACTGATATATGAAGAATAATCTTATAAAAACATTATAATTGAAGGCAAATTATTAGGAGCTCCATTACCAAGATGACCTTTATTATGAATTACTAAACATGAGCTATTAAGAAAAACAACTGCTGCTTTCCAGTAACTACAGTCCTGACTGTAGCACTGACGCCAACCTGACCATAGGATACTAGGA